CACCTCTTCCCCTCACCCGGGCCCCCTCCTCCCTTTTGCCAGTGTGCAAAACGACGAACAAAAATACATTTCGCCGGTGTTTGTGTGTATGTGTGAGTGCGGCGGGTAGTTGAGTGTGTGTGTGTGTGTGTGTGTTACCCCGGTAGCGCGCCAGGGCAGGGCAGGGTGGACCTGAAACTGCATCACCCTGTGTTTGGTAAAAAATATGTACTATAAATGGCCTTTACGCGAGAGGGCAGTGGGCAGGGGCGGGAGCGGGGGAGTGCCGTGCACCGTTGTGAGCTCACAAAGGGAAGCGATGCGATACAGACGGGCTGCCCCCACCTGCCCTCTTAACCATTGACCGAACGAGGGGCCTCCGCTTTTTAAATAGCGCGCGTCTCCTTCTCCATCCCTTTCTGCCTCGCTGTCTCGTTCTCTCTCCCACTCAAGAGGCGCGCACAAAGCAGCGCTGCTGCTGCCTGCTGCGTCTGCTCGAACTTGAAACGGTTTGTGTTTGTGAGCGAGAGAGCGCGGGCTGCAAGGATGAGGAAGGGCGCGGGTCCCGTGGGCCTGGCGGTTGGCAGCACCGGGGCCAGCGGTCGGGCGGGGGGCGCCCGACGGACGCGGGGTAGGCAACCCGCGGCGCCACGCCGTGGAGTAGCGAGCCTACGTTCCGCCTGAGCGCCGCGGGAGGGGAGGGGGCACAGCGGGACGGCGAGCACTCGCATCTGGGGCAAACGCGTCCACGGCGAAAGAGCACACCGGCGGACGCAGCCACCGTCATATACTCGGCATGGGACGCAGCGGCAGCAGTAGCTCCAGCTCGGGGCAGCAGCAGCGCAGTTTGTTTGTTGGCAACAACTTGGGAAAAGTGAAACGTGACGCGAATATCGGTTGATACGTAACCAGGCGCGGCAATGCAGGCGGATCGGATGGGTCCTATGGCGCTCCCGAACAACGACACGGCGAACAGTCGAGATTGGGTGGAGGCGGAGCACAGGTCCGAGTGCTGCTCGGGAGAGCGGCGCGGGGACAACCCGGAGAAGGTAAAAGCTGAGGTGGCTCTGACAACGTAGCAGAAATCAGAGGGGACTAGAGCAGCGTGCCCTATCTGGCAGCGACAACGCCGCGCCACGCCCGCGCCGCACCTTGCCGGGATCACCACCACTCTTTCTTTTTTTACCTCAGTCGCTCTTTTCTTTTTTCTCCCACTGCTGCTGCTGCTGCTTGCGACCGCTTCCCCACCGCCGGCGATATGCTGCTGTTCGCCAATGGCTGCTGCCTGCCGTTGCAGCGTTTCCCTCTTTTTCTTGCTCCTTTTCCGCTTTATGTTCCCCTCGGCGCGTCGCACCAAAAGAAAATGATGACCGCCTCGCCGTGACCAACTCGGAAAATGAAACAGCAGGCAAAAGATCCCTTCGCTACCGCTCTTCTCTCTTTCTTTTTTTTTTTTTCAAATTCTTCTTCCCCTTCGCGCTTCTTTGCCCAGCGCGTAGCCGCGCTCTCTCCCTGTTTTACCCCGTTAGCAAGAACAACACGCCGAAAGAACAAGGCGATGGGAGGGATATTCCTGAGATTATAAGGCGCTAGAGAGGTTCTTCCTCATGTTTTTGTTTTGTTTTGTTTCTTTGAGCAGCGCACAGCGTCCCTCCAGCAGCGAGCCTCCAGAGCATCGCCGCCGCCACCACCACCACGGCCACCACCACCACCTCCACCAACTCCACCACCATCTCCTCCTCCACCATCAACCTCTCCTCTGTCTCTGGATGACGGATGGCGGGCAGGCGACCGCACCTTGCAGACTCATCGCGGCCGGGGCACTATCACGCCCACCCGCATTCCACGACGCACCCCTCCCCGCCACGCCCCGCCACGCCCCGCCACGCCCCGCCACGCCCCGCCACG